GAAGCAACATTATTTTGATTTTGTTGTCTAATGAGTCACTGTAATCAATCCTGAAATGAGTGAATTGATAACTTCAATATTAGTGTCTAAAATAAGACAGTAAACTATTGGTGTTCCACAAGAAAGATTTTCAGTCAGAGATAAATGATTTAGTGTTTATATATATATATATATATATATATATATATATATATATATATATATATATATATATATATATATATATATATATATATATATATATATACACACACACACACACACACAGGAAAAATAATAATGAAAAAATGCATATGAAACATGACATACACTGATTCCGTAGCTATATTACTCTGCAAATACTTCATAATGTCGTGAATACATCAAGTCAGAGAAATATAGCCTCGTCATATTTGCATATTCAAACGTTAATACTAAGCTCGATAAATATCAAATAAAGCGAAACTGACTAGTTCGCTTGGTAAAGTTAAACAAACCTCCAGTAAGGAAAATTCCACGCTCATTTTTAACGTTTTTTTTTTCGAATGCCGCTCTGTGAGACAACGTAATTTTAAATATCATTTCATATTTGTAAATTATATCTTTTGTAATCTTTGTATTTACAACATTTTCTGACTACAATTTCCATATATGCTTCGAGCTGTTGTTAGATGAATCAATGGATATTTGAACACTTACTTACATAATACTATACAGTGCATCCCTGTCTGCATTTATGTTCATGCATATTGATGAAGAAACGTGTAACATTGCGAGTGGTAGGAGTGGGTGTACGTTACTAGCATGCAAATTAATGAGTCACTGATTTCAAATCACTATTCATTATTAGCTCCTGCAGTAACATTACTTATTTGAATTCATTTATGTTTTGCATATCCCTGTTTTTACGTATTTGAAGTACATTATCTATCACACTTTCGCTGTACCTCCCTCTTTTGTATTATATTGATTGCTTATATATCCATATATACACTGATTCTCTTTTCATACATATATGTATTATAGATTATTGGAAAACGATTAATAATGATTGAAATAATAATAATTATTATCATAATAATAGTGATAATAACTATCATCATGGTAGTAATCGTAATAATACTAATAATGTCAATAGCAATCCTTATGATAATGATAATAGTTATAATAATGATAATGATAATAATAGCAATAACGATAATAATAATAATGATAATGATAATGATAATAATAATGATAATAATGATAATAGCAATAATGATAATAATAATACTAATAATCATCATAATGATAATAGTAATAATAATAACAATAACAAAATGAGGATAATGATAATAAAAAAGTCGTAAAGTAATAATAAAGATGATGATTTTTAAAAAATATGTTACTAAAGGTAAAGATGAAAATAATAATGTTAATAATGAAGGTAATGATCATAATGGTAATGATAATAGTAATTATTATCATCATCATAGTAATAGTATGGATAATAATAATAACGATGATCATAATGATGATGGTAATGATAACAGTAATGATAATGATAATATCGATAATGGTGATAATAATAATAATGATAATGGAAATAACCATAATAATAATAATAATAATAATAACAATAGCAATAATAGTAATAGTAATACTGATAGTGGTAGTAGCAGTATTAATAATAATAGCATTAGTAGACTTAATGTTAATAGTTTTATCAGTTATTTTTGTCTACCATCATTACTATCATTGCTGTTGTTATTGTTATTAATATTTTTATTATTACCGTTATTATTAATATCTTCATTTTTATTGTTATTATAATATATTATATATTATAATATTATTATTATCATTATCATTATTATTATTATTATTATTGTTGTTGAATGGCAAAACACTCTACCGTGTTGATACTATGGCAAAAAAAACACAATATACAAAGTAGATTTATTGATAACGTTTCGAAATCCACCTGGATTCCAACTTCAGGTCTGAAGAGGAGAGGGAGAAGAGGAGGTATAAAGGAGAGAGAGGAAACCGAGGCAGGTGACGACAGACCAACGGAAGCGAAGGAAACTCGAGTCAAATCGGAGGATCAGGTTATCTAAGTGAAGGGAGGCCGGCATAAGGGAGAAGCTGCTGTTTAAGTTGAAATTAGGCAACAGCTTGATTAAAGAGGATTCTACCAGTCTGCGATCGTGGACATCAGCGGAAGTTACGACAATACGCGCCGATGACCAATTCATCTGATGGTCTGTGTCCCACTAATAGCAGAAGA